CTGGTGGGTTCAAACCACACGCCTTCAGGAACGCAGCACAGCTTCTTGTCATGAGGCCATCAGTACTCCCCTTCACCATCTTTTCTTTTAAGGAGAACACAGTGAGTGCTCTTGTTAAATGTCCCCTGCTAACCTGTCATCTCCCTGGTCCTCTAGGCCAGGTACACATAGCTGGAGGACTAATGATCAGACCCTTCCTTAATCCCAAGGCCTCCAACAGGGCTGTCAAAACATCAGACCAGAGGCCATGGGGCTAGAGCTATCACTGCAGCCAGGGAGTAAGAGGGCCTGGAGTTGGTGCCACCTGAGTCTGAACGGAGAAACTGGTCTGCCATCTGGCAGTCAGCCAAGCCAGACACTGGTAGCCCCCACAGCAGCTGCCCCAGACAAAAAGTTCTCTGTTCAGGCCACATTTTGGGCTCTGCAATCCAGCCCAGCCTCCTTGTTGGAGGATCCCAAGCAGTCTGGCTAGTCTGGAGAAGAGCTGCCAGCAAGGCCTTCCCACAGAGGGCAAGGAGAGTACACTGGGTTGAGGTAACCAGGGCTAAGGCCACAAGAGCCTGGAGCTGGCTGGTGACCAGAGCCCTGTTCCAGATTGGAGTCCTGGAATAGGCCTCTTTCCAACTCTGCCTGGGTCAGAATTCTAAATCCAGCCCTCAGTCAAAGATTCTGGGACCGTCCAGGACACACAGCAAGGGCAACATGCGCCCTTACATGAGGAGTTACAGAAAGGTCCACTCACCTGAATGGCAGCCCAGGTGGGTCACACACCTCTTGTCCTCTCCCTGGCCTTCCAAAGGCACAATGCCCAGCATGCCTGTTAGATTAAAAAAACACAGGTGTTGGCTTCTCACTCACAGATACTTCACCACCTTCACCTCCAGGCCTCACAGCATGAGATTGTATCCTTCTGCACACAGTGACTGGTTTCCACTGAGGGCCTTGCCCCACACTAGCACCTTCCACAAACTGTGATATTGATCCAAACCAGGATATCAGACATGGGGCCCTGGGCCTGTAGCTCACACGATTGGACAGAGAGCAAGATCTACTCACAGTAACCCTGCAAGACAAAGCAGGACTATTACACAGGGTTTCCAAGGCTGTAAGTCTATCTGGACACAGACTGTCATCCTTCTCCTGTGGAGCAGCTGGTGGTTTGACTGCTGATCTTTCAATAAGAAGCCCAGCATTTTAATAATTCTCTCACTGAACAATGGGGCTCTTTCAACACATGAAGGACACTGGGGGAAAGTGTTGTCTCTTTGTAGCCTTGTGGATCATGAGAGGCCAGTTAACGCCCACTTTGCCCTGAGAAGGAGCCTATCCAAGGACAGCAGAGCTGACAGACAGAGAGAGAGACACTGGGCCTTGGGACTATGCTTAAATATGTGGATCCATTTCTATCTGAACCGCCTGAACATTTCAGTTACTCAAGTCAAAAAGATCCCTATTTTCTGTTTAAGCCAGTATGCAGTTGATTTCCTGTGTAACCAAGAGCCCTGAAAAATACACTGGAGTTTTTGAAATCTTGGTGTTCCTGTGTACTCAGTCACCCTCAGGTCCCATTCATTCCAGGACTTGTCCAGGGCAGTCACAGTCTTTTAGAGCTGAGAAGAGGGCAGAAAAAAGATGCCCAAGCCCAACCACTGAAGTGATTTAAACTCACAGTAGCCTTGTAGGACAGAACAGAACTGCCCTGTGAAGTTTCCAAAGCTGTAAATAATCCTTATACAAGCAGACTGCATTAGTTTTTTTTTTCTCTCAGAGCAAACGGTGGGTTCAAACTGTCAGTCTTTTGGTGGGGGGCCAAGGTCTTAACCACTGTCATCAGGGCTCCTTTGTTCAGAAGAGGAAAATATCTGGAAATAAAATGCTACAAAGCCACATAGCCTGAGTCTTCCCTCCTGGCTTCACAGCCATGCTCTCTCAGACCACACACAAGCAAACAGTCACACCCTAAAATCAGGAGATTTCTCTCCTTTGAGCACACCAGGCTCCCCCAGACCCTATCCTGTAAGCAGCCTGTCCACCTCCCCACCCCATCTAACTGAATCCGCACCTCCATGCCAGCATCCAAGCCCCCCTACCTGGATGGTCAGAGTTAAACACGATCAAGCTGCAGCTTGATTTGATGTGGTTTCCACATGAAGGGGCTGTTCCCGCTCGAATATCATTGATCCAGGCCTGCATATAAAGAACAAAGGTGATGAAGGTGGTGGCCAGGTTTCTTCCAAAACTAAAGTGGGGGCCTCACTCAAAGAGCCTACCTCAAAATTGCACCATTACAGATGGTTTCCTTTGGTGCAAACCCTGTTCCTACTCACTCAGTCCTTTAGAGAAAGCAATATGTTTTGTAATGATGACCTGCATCACAGCTGCGAGAAGGCAGCCAGAGGCAGGAGGTGAAGCCAGGGGTCGGAAGAGAGCTGCTCCCTACAGAGTTCTTGGCCTTCATCTTCGTGAAAGCTTCTCTGCCAAAGTCAGTGCTTAAAGTACCTGGCTCCTAACCAAAAGGTAGGTGATTTGAACCCATGACTTGCTCCGAAGGACAAAGGTATGGTGATCTTTACAGCTTTGGGCAGTCTACTTTGTGTTATGGTGCTGCTCTGAGTGGAATGGATTTGACAGCAGAGGATATGGATTTGGTTCAGAATTTGTATGGGAGCAATTTTCCAGCAGGGCTGGAAAGTAGGTCTGAACCATCAATCTTTGCATGCGAAATAGACAGAAAAGTGTATGCACCCCCAAAGCTTCTGACCAATATTGAGAACAGGTGAATCTGCTCCTAAGCTCAGTTCCCCAAGAAGCAGGAGGCTATCACAAGGACATTCAGGTTAAGAAGAGGAAGGTGACCAACTGGGGAGAGTGTGCACAAGAGGGAAAATGTGTGTGAGCATGTGTACACCAGAGGGAGAGAAAGTGTGTGTGCATTCATGTGTGTGCAAGAGGGAGAGAAAGTGTGTGCGTGAGTGTGTGTGTGTGTGTGTGTGTGCCAGAGGGAGAGAAAGTGTGTGTGCGTTCATGTGTGTGCGAGAGGGAGAGAAAGTGTGTGCGTGTGTGTGTGTGTGTGTGCCAGAGGGAGAGAAAGTGTGTGTGCATTCATGTGTGTGCGAGAGGGAGAGAAAGTGTGTGCATATGTGTGTGTGTGTGTGTGTGTGTGTGTGTGTGTGTGTGCCAGAGGGAAAGAAAGTGTGTGTGTGTGTACCTCGTTTCTGTAGTGGAAAGGAAAAAAATAAACAAGTGAGTCCCTGACAGAGAAGAGAGACTCAATTTCTTCCACAGTTCTACTGCTGGACACTAGGTCCAGGTGTGTCCTCTAACTTGTTGTTGTCATGTACCATCAAGTTGGAACCAACCCACAGCTGACCTTCTAGCAGATTTTCAGAGGCTAAAATTGCACAGAAGATTGCTCATACTTCTCTGATGGAGCAGCTGGCGGATTTAAACTTCGTGTCTCCAGGATTTCCGCATAGATTCTTTTTTTTTTTAATTACTTTTAATGAAAGTTTACAGAGACTTTGGATTTCCATTCACTCATTGTTGCACACTATCCTCCCTGCCCACCCCTCCCCCCTAATTTGCTCTTCTCTTTGAAAGGTAAAAGAAAAATTCTTTCACTGTTACACAATCCCTCCCACTACCATCCACTCTACTACGCTGCCTTCATCATTCTGGACTCCTGTTATAACAATAATACCTAATCGCATATCCCTTTTAAACAGTTCTCTCCCTCCTCTGTTTCAATGCAGTATACATTATTTATCCCCTCTTTCTCAGTCTCCCCCCAACTCCTATGTCAGTCCTCTTTCATAACAGTGGCATTATGCAGTATTTGTCTTTTTGTCAGCACAGATTCTTAGCACTAGGACACCAGAGCTCCCTGTCTTCTAAGTAGCAAAAGCCAAACTCCCAAGCTCAGAGGCAGGGCCACCGGGCCTGGCTCCCCAGAGTCCCTCTTTAGAGCACACCTTCATGACAAGACAATGATAGGAACCTCCTGACAGGCAGATGGGGGAATACGTGTTCTGAAATGAAGATAATAAAACCAAATTCACTGTTGACCAGTTGATTCCAACTCCCAACAACACCGGTGGACAGACTAGAACTGTCCCTAGGGTTTCCAAGCCTTTATGGGCATAAGCAAACTTTTCGCTGCTAACCAAAAGGTTGGTGGTTCAAATCTGCCAGCTGCTCCATGGGTTTCCTCCAGTACTGATCTACAGCACTGGAAACACAATGGAGGGACATCATGAGTGGGAGTCAACTTGATGGCAATGGGTTGGATTTCATGGTTAATCCTTATAGAAGGTGACAGATTCCTCCTCTAGGGGGTTGCTGGTAGATTGGAACCACTGATTTTGTTTAGCATCAAATACCCCAACCACTGCACCAGCAGAGCTCCTAGAGGGTCAACCAGGTCCACAAATTTTCTCTGCTGGTATCAAAACTACACCCAGAGGGCGACGCAGCGCGAGGGCGACGCAGCGCG